TCCCACTGAGTTCTGCTGAAGCTGACAGTCGCTCAGCACTTCTGGAAACCAGGCCCCAGGGTCTCAAGTCAGGCACCCAGAAAATGAGGATCACACAGTTAACGGCCACCTGTGAAAAGTCTGCTTTAAGTGAGCTGCCCAGCATCACACAGGAGCTCTGTGGCATAGACACAGATAGAATCCAACTATCCAGAGCAGAATTAAACTGCCTTAACCATGAAGCCATCATTTCTATTCCTGCAGTCCCTTGCCTCATTCACTGCACACCTTCCAGCTTCTGTAACAAATCAGGCAGGGGCCGTTCAGACAACAGTCTCCTTCACTTCACAACCCTGACTCATCCTCTGAATAGGTCTATCCTGTGCACTGAATGAGGCAGGGGTCCTGTGGAAAAAACAGCATGTGATCCTGTAATTAAAGACTTGTATCGTAAACACAAAGGGAGGCTTAATTCTGGCATTTGCTAATTTTGAGTGTTTTATTTTGCAACCTTAATGTTCTATTAATGTTGATTTTTTAAATGTAATTTCTTAGGTATTTTAAAGCACAAACTACTTTTTTGTCCCAATGTGTTCCCTTCAACACTGCCCCCCACCTCCAAGTCTGGCTCTTGTCCTCTTGCATTCAAGTCAGGCTTCTTCCTTCTCCAAGATGCCTGGGAACCTGCAGAGTGAATACTGAGAGCAATGGAGAGACAAGGTTCTTGCTACAAGTGATGCCCAGCACCACAGCAGTCCACAGAAGCATTTACAGAGGAAATACCTGATAAACCTCTATGTCCCTAGGCTGCATCATACTCAATACAGATGGAACCTCTGCAGAATTAAGCAGCTAAACTCGAACAAGTCTCCACTGAGCATATATGGACTGAGAGTTTTAAAGGGCTTATAACTTGGCTAAATTTGGTCAGATTGTCTCAGGAACAGCAAAAGGCACATCCCTGGCATGGGGGCAACCACCCAGGCAAATTTCAAGTACTTGTTCTAAAGCATGGAGGTGCTAGAACTGCTCAGCTCTAGGAAATGGCTGGATTTTTGCTGACACTTTTTCAGAAAAATGTAGCCTGATGCAGACAACCAGCATGAAAATTTTGGCAAAGTTATAAGCAACTGACAACAGGGTCTTATCATGAGAACCTTTGGCCAACCGTCACTAAAGGTGGCACCACCACCTTTGCTTATAATAATGTGTCTTCAACCCTGAACTACAAAACCCTTATTGCAACTCTGAACTACAGCTACAGGACTCCTGAACTACTGCAATCCTGAACTACGAAATGTACTTAATACAACACACTGTGACTATAGATAATCTATTCAACACAAATTGGACACATGTTGCTATTGTGACAAAGTTCCTGCTCTACCTTGGTGGTTCTTGTGCTTATTGGCGGATTTGCTTGCCTTGGAGCTTCACGGCAGCCCTCAGCTTGGCCGTTTTTCTGAATTCACAGTCCAGGTCAACTCCTCCTGTGTCTGACCAGGAGTTGGGAGGATTTGGGGGGAACCCGGGCCCGCCCTCTACTCCGGGTTCCAGCCCAGGGCCCTGTGGAATGCAGCTGTCTAGAGTGCCTCCTGGAACAGCCGTGCGACAGCTACAACCCCCTGGGCTACTTCTCCATGGCCTCCTCCCAACACCTTCTTTAGCCTCATCACAGGACCTTCCTCCTGGAGTCTGATAATGCTTGTACACCTCAGTCCTCCAACAGTCCACGTTCTCACTCTCGGCTCCTAGTGCTGCTTGCTCCCAGCTCCTCACACGCACACCACAAACTGAAATGAGCTCCTTTTTAAAACCCAGGTGCCCTGATTAGCCTGCCTTAATTGATTCTAGCAGCTTCTTGATTGGCTGCAGGTGTTCTAATCAGCCTGTCTTAATTGTCTCCAGAAGGTTCCTGATTGTTCTGGAACCTTCCCTGTTACCTTACCCAGGGAAAAGGGACCTACTTAGCCTGGGGCTAATATATCTGCCTTCTATTACTCTCCTGTAGCCATCTGGCCCGACCCTGTCACACTATGTATTTAGGTTTAACAATTTTGTAGACACATTCACATGGGAAAAGGTAAGGGGTGTTATCTATTGTTTAAAACATGGTTTTGAAAGTGCTAAACACACAGTTAAGATGCAATGTCAGAAAAAGTTCTTGAAATGTGCTGGGTAACCCTTTAAAGGATCTCAAGATCTGTTCCCTCTCTTCTTCCTCGATTCCAGTGGAAAGGCTGTAACAATATGTTTTCCACTTCTGACATTGAACATTTATAGTCTTATCAAAAAAGAAAGAATGATTAAATGGTGCAAAATTTTCCATTACACATGCTGAGAAAATATGAATACAACATTCTGAAAACCTTAAAAGTGCATAGGCTCAATCTTGCAAACATTATTCTCTTCAGTAATGCTAACTCACATGAATAGACCTATTGGGCCTAATCCTTAGGACTTTACTCAGTTTTTGATCAGCACTTATTCAAATTCCTCAGCTGCCTTGAAAAAAACTACTCATATGAATAAGCATTTGTGCGAGTGCCTCTTGTGTTTGCAATCCTATATGTCAAAAACAGCTTGACCAAATATTTTCAAACTTGCGGAGAAGTTTACCCCAAGGAAAAGACTAACTATGCCAAGTTTCTCCATAGAATTTCTTCCCCAAAGTTATATGCAATGAAGAAGGAGGTTCATAAGAACCTAAGAATGGCCTCACTGGGTCAGACCAATGGGCCATCTAGCCCAAAATCCTGTCTTCTGACAATGGCCAATGCCAGGTGCTTCAGAGGGAATGAACATTACAGGGAAGTTACTGGGTGATTCATTCCCTGTTGTCCAGTCCCACCTTCTGGTTCATACTGGAAGTGTCATTCCCTCCTAACAGTGGGAATAGTATGCCTCTACAGTACATATATTTAACAGATGTGGCCAAAAATCACTGCCAGCTACTGATAAAAGTCATATTTCACAGCTACAGTACTTGGAAATTGGAACTATGCTTAGATGGATTGCAGAGCTGTATTTCAGAATTATGACATCATACCTGTAAAACACTATATAGCTATTCAAGTACAGAAGAGCTTTGAAATATGACTATTTAAAAAGAGGTGTTAAAAACAACAGCACTTTTGCTTATACTAAGTATTTACAGTAGTGTCACTTTAAATGTCTGCCAGAGCCATGTTTTCTAAACACCACTTGCACTCCCCATCTTCTCCAGCAACGTAAAGCCCCATCGCCAGTTTTTGAAGTTTTAAGTGTGTCTTTCTTGTTGGAAAAGCAGGTTTGCACGTTGCCAAAAACTGACCTTTTAACTCTCAAGAAATTGCTATGGGGACTTGCTCTTTTCTCCAGCTGCAAATTGAAGGTGGAGGCTGCTTTTAAGCAAGGAATCAGAACAAGTCTTTGTTCGAGTGCCATAAATGCAAAATCAGTATTTTCTGAGACTTTTGAGATTTTTTTGGAATGCTGCAGGAACTTTTTCAGTTAAAATGTAGTAATGTCACAAACACTTTAAGGTCTCTGCATTTGTTTCTTCTTTGTTCTGCCTTCCCCCCTCATTACTGACACCTTTTTTTAGTTCCTTGATCTCCTTTTATTTTGTTCCGCTTTTCCTCTCTTGTTTTTCTCCTTCTGTCCCGTTTGCTTCCTTGTCCCCCTTCATCCTCCCCTGCAAATTCTCTCCACCTCTCCACTCTACTCTTCTTCTCTCAATCCCATGGTTCCACCATTCTTCTCTTGCTGATTTGTTGCATGTGCAAATGAAGCAGCAAAGTGGAATTCACAAGTTCTATAGTGAATAGCTCCTCTACTTTGTCCCATGGGCAAATAGTGAAGGAAAATGTCCCAGGGAATAGAACGGAGGTTCCTTGTCATGCCTGGATAGAGACATTGTCTGCCATACTCTTGCATGTGTGTTGGGAGCTGCTTACCTTATTTTAAGGTATGGTGTCCTTTTATCTGAAAACGGGCTACTAACCATAAGAAATGTTTCTTAGGTGAAAAGGAAGATGCAAGTTATCTAGCCTTAGAGAGCCTTACTTTTAAATACACACAGTAGGAAAGCTATCAGACAACTATCTAGCGCAGGGGTGGCCAACCTGTGGCTCCGGAGCCACATGCGGCTCTTCAGAAGTTAATATGCAGCTCCTTATATTGGCACCAACTCCGGGGCTGGAGCTACAGGTGCCAACTTTCTAATGTGCTGGGGGGTGCTCACTGCTCAATCCCTGGCTCTGCCACAGGCCATGCCCCTACTCCACCCCTTCCCATCCCCTCCGCTGAGCCTGCCGTGCCCTCGCTCCTCCCCCTCCCCCCCCAGAGCCTCCTGCACGCCACGGAACAGCTGATCGGGAGGTGCGGGAGGGAGGGAGAGGCACTGATCGGCAGGGAGAGTGGGAGGCGCTGGGAGCAGGGTGGGGGAGCTGATGGGGGGCTGCCAATGTATTACTGTGGCTCTTTGGTAACGTACATTGGTAAATTCTGGCTCCTTCTCAGGCTCAGGTTGGCCACCCCTGATCTAGAGGGTTTAATGATAGTATCAGAAAGCACTTGAGCTTCACATTTTTGAACACAGTACCACTGGGACACTTTGCTGTCTGTTGTGTTTATGGGCAGGATTTTCAAAATCATTTAAATGACTTAGTTGCACAAGTGCCAATCCCATCCTATGTCTTTATATCTGAATATTAACCTGTGTGTGTGTGTGTGTGTGTGTATATTTATATACCATTATTGCCCTTTATATTGAAAGTTACCTCTAGTGGATAATAAAATGGCTCAAAGTTCTCTATTAGTTACTTTTCCAAGCAAGAAAGAAATATTTGGCGCTATAAATTTTGCTCCAGTCAAAAAGACAGATGGTACAGACACACAGAAATATATATACATATAAAGAGAAACACACGTGTGTATATCTGCATCCATGCAGATTTATGGTGTAAGATCAATAATACAGCATTATACACAAAAAATGCTGTAACAAAAAATTAATCAATACTTTGCAGAGTTTTTACCTTATTGCACTTGCAGATAAGTGGCCATAGGAACCACTAGCTGAAGAACTGCTGCGAGAATTATTGAGAATTGTGACCAAGGAGTTTGGAGATGTCCGTATCATGGTCTGAAGGTCAAAGCTATGATCAGACAGGGGCGATATGGACAGCGTACGCTTTCGGCTTGGTCTAGTTGACAGCCTTGGACTCGGAAACCTGGCACCTGTTATGTAAACAAAAATAATTATCTACCAAAGTACTCTACCCCATTTATTTATGACTCCTGGCGATGGGTATAAAGAGTCACAACATGCTGTGACAAGCCCACTCTTTCCACTTGTGATCTACTGGCTACAATTGAGGAAAATTAGGAAGAAAAATTTATCTTCCTATGGCTTACCTCAGGGGAGCTCTGTTTATTAATGTGCAAGCAAAATGATAAATTGCTAAACAAAAGGGAAAGACTTTTATATGTTATCCCTCTCATTTCTGGTGATTTATGAATCTGATGGCTGCTTAGACATTCACATCATTAATTCAAGCCCAAGCGATGAGACAGTGGCTCACATCGGCGCTCCCTGAAACCCCTGCTACTTCAATGCAAAGAGCCAAAAATAAACTTCTAAAATACAAAATAAAGATTAAGATGCAGCTTTCCCTTTGCTGATCATAATTCCTCCTGGCCAATGCTAGCTGCAAAAATAAAACAGATTAATAAAATAATGCCATAAAACAAAATGCTCTATCAACAGAAGTTATCAATTCGACAGTCACAGCATTAGGCTAAGAGACATTAGGATTTTATTTCAATTTTTTCAAGTAACTAAGAAGATTTGTGGGGGTGGATGAATCCATTTTTTCAAAACTATAGTTTAAGCTTTTCAGAGCAGTGCAGGGGATTCGATCCCACATCTTCCATTAAAATGAACAGAACATGTATGGCTAAATTCTCTGTGCGGCTTTGAAAACTTCCACTATTGGGCCGGTACTCCTCCTGACCTGTAACCACAATTCTATCGTGCTAATGGGAGATATATCACTTTCAACTTCATCCTAATATTGATTTATGTAATCCTCAATTTCACTGTAAGCAAAGTTCTAGAGCCAATCATTTGTATTAAAAATAATACCACCTGCACTTCTTATTTCAGTCAAATAAACTGGTAATATTGGAGCATGCCATGTAATTTTGATGTCCAGGGCCACAAACTCTTGGTTCAATTCCTATTTTTCTAACCGGATGGCTTGCAGCTCTGTGTAACTTCTCAACAATTAAAGAGTAGGTTACAGGTTTCTGTGATCTTTTCTTTATACTTCCCACTACTTGGTGCTCTAAACCTCAATTCAGCAAGGTACTTAAGCATGTGTGTAACTTTAAGTACGTGAGTAGTCCATTGACTCCAACAGGACTATCCATGTGCTTAAAGTTAAGCAAATACTCAAATACATAGCTGATTTAGGGCCTTCGTTAGTGTTTATAGACAGCTGATGTAGAGATCTGCTCTTTTCCCAAATTTCCTGATGTTCTTTGTTTACACATTTCATGGATACGTCCAAATAAAAGCTTGCTAATTTTATTGTTAAATATAGTAAGACTGACATTTTCATTTTAGGCTCTCTCACTTTGCTTTTCTCCTACTGCAGTTTTTATTTTGAGGTAAGCTGACTTTGTATTTCACCCATTTCTATGCTTGCAATCCAGACTTATTCTTTAACTATGATGTGTTGTTTTCTCCACACATTATTTCAATTCTCGGTTCCACTTACTAAACATCTCCAGAATTCACAATTACTTAACAAATTTTGCAGCTAAAACTATGGTGCATGCCGTGGTTCTTTCCTGTCTCAACTCTTCCTAGGTTTTCCAACTAATCTTCCTACCGCTACTCTATCGGACACGCAAGTGGCACAGAATCACAGGACTTGTCTTAATTTTCATTGCTTGCAATTTTCTCGCTTGACTCTTCTCCTTAGACATCTGTATTGGTTGCCCCTTTTTGAGTGTGTTCAGCCAACATTCAAAATCTTGTAATTAAAGCCATTGTTTTACGGTTGATATCATTCTGTGATCTGATCTCTGCTTATACTCCCCCTCATAAACTGTGCTTAATTTGGAACACTCTTTGACCTCTACTAAGACTGCCAATAAGGGTTGCCTTTGGGATCAGGGTTCAGGGTTTTTTCCCACATCTTTATTCCTCCAGTCTCTCACTGGATATTCATGCTGCTGAATTATCATTTAAAACTTAAACTTGAAGATTTTATTTTTTTCCTCGAGCTACTTCAAGCTATTTTACTTAATCTGTTTTATCTCTCTTTTTATGAGCATGCTATTGTATTGTGTGTACATCTGCTACTTTATGAAGTGCAGTGCCTTGATACTTCTAAAGCCTGATATGTTTTATCTCCATGAAAGTACAAACATTGATTAGTGGCTATAAGAAGTTGCTATGCATTTACTAAGGATATACAAGATCCATGTGATAGTAAAAGAATAACTACATATTAATATTTTGCATTTATTTAGTAGTTTTCATCTATACCTCTCATATGGGCCAGATTCTCAGCTGATATAAATTGGTACCACTACACTGAAATCAATGGAGTTATGCCAATTTGCATTAGCTAAGGAGCTAGCTCAAAGCACTTTAAAAGTGAGTTGTTATTATTATCTCCATTTGACCAAGTGGATAACTGAAGTTCAGTCGTCCACAGTGAAACATCAAATGAGTGGGGCAAACAGGACTCTTTGCACAATCCACTAGACCACAACTGAACAGCTAAATGGTATGTTATTCACAGCATTGTTATTGTCATTATTTATAATCCTTGCTATGTTCTACACCAGCTGATCCCTCCCCCCCCCTTGTAGTCACATGGATAAAAGCACCAATCATTTATTTTCCTCAGATTGATAGGAATGGGATTGGTCAAAAGACACTGGACATGCTCATGATGAGGGAAGCATAGATCACTTTCTTTGGATAAGCATGACATTGTTACATGTTACAGTTCTGTTTTTAACATGAGAAGCCTGACCTCTGCATAAGGATGTTACCAATGATAATTTAGGAAAGATTTTAAACTTGATTTTTAGGACTTAAGTTTAAAAATATTTATTGTGACTGATCAGAATTCCAGATCTGAATGTGTATAGATAGAGGTGACTGCCATTTATTTGATGTAAGTGTCCTGGGGAATTTGTTAGAGACTTGCCAGACACAGACTGACTGTTTCTGATTCTGAAATGAGACAATGCACTGACTGGGAAAAAGGCAAACCACAACTATGTTTATAAATCAAATATCAGCTAGTTATGTTTTCCGCTGCAAATGAGAGATGTATTCCAATGATTTCGTTGGAAAATGAAGCGATCATTAAAAATACTATAACATGAACCCTGCTAGATTACATTTCTCATCTGCAGTGAAAGCTTAGACAGCCTGATAAATGATCTACAAACATAGTTGCACTTTGCCTCTTTGCTGATCAGAGCATTGTCTCATTTCAGCATTAGAACCTCTTTTGGCAGTTCTATACCACATTTCCCAGGAGAGGACACTTGTACCAAATAAGTATCACCCATGTCTGTACTACCCCTAGGAGTTTGAAGAGAAGCATACTCATCCTTAACAAACTGCACAGAGCTACCAAGTATGATTATCCTCATCCTGGTGCCCCACAGATGTTCAACAAATGCATGACTCCCTCCTTCTCCCTTCCCTCTCTAAAATGAGCCAACCCATTCTTAAGTCACACTATGGCGGTTTGAAAAGACTCTTTCCCTCAAATGCTCATTAAACCTCCCTCGTCCCACCCAACTGCTATCAGCAGCCAGTCTTCTCTTCAGCACAGAGCCGCTCTGGGCCAGCTCATCCCTGTCCCCTGGCTCTGTCGTAGGCACATAAGTGTTCTGGCCAGAGACAAAGATGTGGTATGGCAGAGCAGAGTGAGCAGAGCAGAGCAGAGCAGAGTGGATTTATAACAGGGAGCCTTGACTCAGCCTTATCATTCAGTAGCCACAGATTTTCTTTTCTCCTTGGAACAGCATGCCATAGTCGTCTCACCTGGATCTAGAAATCAGTCAGACCCCAACTTGCATCTACCTGGGATTTGGCCAGTTTCCTAAGGGGTAACAGTTCTATATGTAAACAGAGAATTCCTGTGTCACATGAGATGATGGTTACAGCCAAATCAGAGCACCACAGTACTTGGTAATGGAAGAGTAGAACTGGCTTCAAGTGAGACAGTGACTTTCAAAATGGAAAATCCAATTAAATGACTGTTTTTCTTGCATTCACCATTGAATTAGGTTTTACATTCCTAAAAGGTTTTAAATATGAAATGATCATTCATTATGTTGCAAAATGTTTAGTATAACAATATTCTGAGTTCGTATATTACTATAAAAAGAAATAGATCATAATTTATAAGCATCTCTGACTGCTAAAATAAACTTTGCAGCTTTGCTCTGGCATATATTTTAAACACAAACACTTCAGCGTTTATTAATTTGAGATGTTTATCTGTTCATAGTATTCTTCCAATGAAGCATCACATTCCATTTTTTGTAAGATTCCTGGAGACCAAAAATGCAGAGCCAGTGATTCACTAAAAACTCCATTCACCTTCTGAGCAAGCACTGAAAAACCATCAACTTTGGAGGGTGGTGAAAATAGAAGGTAGGCTGTGGCATTCTACAGAGCAGAAGACAGACTTGTTTAAGAATATAGTCCCTGTGGAGTAGATATTATACTAAAGGAAATTGTAATATCAGCTAGTGAAGCTTTGAGACAGGGATGTGTAGGCAAAAATCAGAGTGAGTGTTAAAAGTAAAGACTTATTCTGAGGGTGGAGCTCATTTCTAAAATAGCTGAAATCAATTTCAATCATTACTTTCCAAAATGGAATATGCCTTGCTGCAAATTGGTCCATGAATTCGATTTCTGAATTCAAGTTTTTAGCATCAATTATTAGGGAATAATTTTCAGACGTATAATTTTATTCCTTTAAATCACATTTCTTCAAACTGCCAAAGGAACTGGTCTTCTTTGAAGGCTGTGAACATGACAGGTTTGAATTTTTGAAAATAAACTAGAGCTGTGTGAAACTTGGTGGTTTTGGTTCACAGACATCAGTAGAAGTTTGGTTTTACTTTATGGAAGTACACATCCTGAATTTTGTCTTGGTTTCCAAACCCATAAATCCCTTGATGACACACAGGGGAAGGAATGGGTCTACTAGCCAAAACTTGTCCCACCTTTTCTTGAAACTCAGCCTACATTCAGTCAAAAGGTCACACCTCAGAAAGTCTTACAGGGTGGGACTGTCAAAAGCACTCAGTGTAGACCTAGCTAGCTCTGCTCTCACTGAATTCAATGGGAGTTCACCAAAAAGTTCCCACAGAGCGAGGCTCCAGAGCATGTAGGACATTTCAACCCCCTGCACAAGAGCCAAGCATCCTGTCCCCCACCCCAATAAAAATGGCTCTCCAGCACCATAAAGCAGGAAGAAGGCAGGGTGTTCCCCATACCCTGTATAAAGCTCTGTGTCCATCTTCTGCATAATGCATATAGTTATTATTTGTATTACATTAGAGTCAAAAGGCTCCAGATTTGATCATTGTGCTCACTGCTATACACACACACACACACACACACAGAGTAAGATACAGTCTCTGTGTCACCTTCTCCATATAGTAAACTCAGAACATTCTCTGTTTCTGACCCATTGTTGTACAGAATACGTAAGCAGGGATCTTTCAGTGGGTCTAATCGGCTATTTCTCAGAATTTTGTCACAAATAATGAGGGAAATTATCAACTTCTTTTTCATTCTTTTTAACAAGATGGGGCAGGGTGGAAAGAGGACTTTTAAAATCATCATAATGCAAACATGGGCATTCTGATCATTCAAAAAAAAAAGCATCTTAATATTGGCTTCCTGCTAATTGTTTTGTTTCTCTTTTCTAATCTAAAATTCTGACAAAGAAGAAAGGGGTTTTCTTTAGCATGATGAATGATAGGACATTCAGATGCCTACTTAATGACAATTAATTTACTGTATATCCATGCAAGTTAAGATAGTTTTAATTAGTTTTTACAAAGTAAAAGGGTAACTTCATCCTCTCTTTAGATAAAAGAAGCTATTGCCTGACTAAACAAATTCTCATCAAATACAGAAGGTGAGGCTAAGTGACCTTCTTAGGATTCGCTCTTATTTTAATTCTCTATTTACTGTTTAAAATAACCCATTTGCATAATACTGCTTCAATTTTTTTGACTTTAGTCCTGAAATAATCCCTAATTGAAAAGTTGCTGCTATAATGAATTGCAAATGTGTGATCTCAACTTTAAAACCAAACACAAAACAAATTAAAGTGCATATATCAAATATCTGGACAGCTGTCCCTGTTTGAGATTATGTTTAAGACCCTTTTTTTATGAATGAACAGAGAGCATATGCATCAAAGATCAACATCCTTTCCTTTAAGCACAGGTGCTGGAACTAGCGTGCGGCAGCATCCCCGGCTTGAAGAGGTTTCCATCATGTACAGGATTTACAGTTTTGTTCAATGGCTTTCAGCACCTCCACTATACAAACTGTTCCAGCACCCCTGCCTTTAAGTAAAAAGAGGTAATTATTTGTGATGCTGAGGCTGTATTTCTATGCATATTATAGCATGTTCAATCCTCCAGCTGTTACTCCACAAGTAAGTCTTTTGATGTCTCTAGCGTTATTTGTGTAAGTTAAGGAAGTATGGGCTGGATGAATGCACCATAAGGTGGGTAGAAAGTTGGCTAGATTGTCGGGCTCAACAGGTAGTGATCAATGGCTCCATGTCTAGTTGGCAGCCGGTGTCAAGTGGAGTGCCCCAGGGGTCGGTCCTGGGGCTGGTTTTTTCAATATCTTCATAAATGATCTGGAGGATGGTATGGATTGCACTCTCAGCAAATTTGCGGATGATACTAAACTGGGAGGAGTGGTAGATACACTGGAGGGCAGGGATAGGATACAGAGGGACCTAGACAAATTGGAGGATTGGGCCAAAAGAAATCTGATGAGGTTCAATAAGGATAAGTACAGGGTCCTGCACTTAGGACGGAAGAACCCAATGCACAGCTACAGACTAGGGACCGAATGGCTAGGCAGCAGTTCTGCAGAAAAGGACCTAGGGGTGACAGTGGACGAGAAGCTGGATATGAGCCAGCAGTGTGCCCTTGTTGCCAAGAAGGCCAATGGCATTTTGGGATGTATAAGTAGGGGCATAGCGAGCAGATCGAGGGACGTGATCATCCCCCTCTATTCGACATTGGTGAGGCCTCATCTGGAGTACTGTGTCCAGTTTTGGGCCCCACACTACAAGAAGGATGTGGATAAATTGGAGAGAGTCCAGCGAAGGGCAACAAAAATGATTAGGGGTCTGGAACACATGAGTTATGAGGAGAGGCTGAGGGAACTGGGATTGTTTAGTCTGCAGAAGAGAAGAATGAGGGGGGATTTGATAGCTGCTTTCAACTACCTGAGAGGTAGTTCCAGAGAGGATGGTTCTAGACTATTCTCAGTGGTGGAAGAGGACAGGACAAGGAGTAATGGTCTCAAGTTGCAGTGGGGGAGGTTCAGGTTGGATATTAGGAAAAACTTTTTCACTAGGAGGGTGGTGAAACACTGGAATGCATTGCCTAGGGAGGTGGTGGAATCTCCTTCCTTAGAGGTTTTTAAGGTCAGGCTTGACAAAGCCCTGGCTGGGATGATTTAATTGGGTATGTGTCCTGCTTTTGAGCAGGGGGTTGGACTAGATGACCTCCTGAGGTCCCTTCCAACCCTGATATTCTATGATTCTATGATTCTATGATACAGAATTTTATCTATCTCTTTAGGTTTTCCTAGAATGCCCATCATGAGGGTAGGTAAGTGCTGAACAGGCAAATTACAGTAGGTCAGAATGCCAGTTTGGATTGGGCACATTATTTATCAAGCACTTTGGGATTCAAGGGATTATACACAGTGGACCAGATCCTCAGCTAGTGTAAATAAGGATCGCTCCATTGACTTCAGTGGAGCTATGACAGTTACACGAGTTGAGGATGTGTCCAAGTGTGATTGTTATATTTACATGTCTTGAACCATCCAAAAAGCAGAAAATGAATGTTATAATAAGTTGCTATTAATATGTGCCAAACACATTAATAGCCCTTTATCTCCCCCCCACACACCTTCTCTCCAACTCTCTCCCTTCAAAACCCTTTGAAAAACTCCATCTTCTGTGAAGCTTATCAGACATAATGTCCACAAAGCAGATTTTGGTTTTTATAAGCACCTCCAAGTAGGAAATGAGTATGTTTGGAATATTTTAACTACTGTAATGCACCATGCACAGTAATTGAATATAGAATATGTAATTGAAATTGAATTGTTAAAAAATGTGCTCACCTTCTTTTCGACTAATAAAAACGTCTAATTTGCACACTCAATTCCTGCACGATATATCTTATCAATCACTTATTTAACATATATTTAAATGAATGTCCTTGCAACACTGACTTTCTTATGTCCTCATGCTTTCTGTGGGTGAGCCTCATAATTCTCACATTCTATGCAGACTCCTTGGGATCAGCAGCCCCGGAACATGGTCAATAATGAGATATAGACGTGAGGAAACCACATGCTGGCAAGGATTTAAAAGAGTCACAGGCTAAACCAATTCTCTAATAGTATGCCACGTGGGAAGCAACAAGGTTTTATTCCGAGCCCCAGTCCCTTACTTCTCAAGTTATGGTGGAGATGGGGGAATGAGGATTTCATAGACAGCATTAGCAGCTCCTGAGTGAAGTGCTTTGCACAACTGTTACTCAACCAACAGTAACTCCATTTGGTTGACTAAAAAATAGCAGTGAGCAGCTTCAGATGGAGTGCTCTCCCTCAACTTTGCGGAGAGAAATGGAGGCCACGATAAAAGGTCTTGAAGATGATGCAGCACGTGGAAGGAGGTACATAGCTTAGAAATTTGAGACAGCATCCTTGGGGATTTGGCCATCCACATTGCCTGAGCCAGAAACAATCTCCAAGCTTAATCAGTACCAGGATACATAATTTTTAAACATATCTGCTGCTCTCTGAAGATGTTTTAGACAAATGCTATAAAATAAGAGTTGTTCACATTGACTGGTTGCTGGGTTTTTTTGCGGGAACGGGGACACTAACTAAGGTTAGGAAAATGGACGTAAATGTTTATTTATGAACAACGACTACTGGTGTCAACAGCAACAAAAATATCGACATTAAAGATAAACACGACAATGTTTGTTAATGTAAGGTAACCTTTTCAAAAACATTTAGTAATTTAGGAATCTGAGTCCACTTGAAAGTTAGTTTTACCCACAGCCCTTTATTTTTAGAAGCAATCACATTTCTTTCCTTCGTCGCTTTCAAAGTTTATTATCAGATTCACTTTGCTACCTCTCACTTCTTTTTTAAACTACTTTTAGGCCCCGATCCTGCAAAGAGACCCATGTGGGCACAAACTCTTGCATCTGCACAGAGCTCTACTGATGACAGTGGGGCTTCATGTGAGCACAGGGAATTTACCCATGGGGTTCTCTTTTCAGGATCAGGGCCTTATTTGTCTCACTTTTTTCAGCATGATCACTTACTATCCATGGCGTGAAGGTATTCCATATGAAGGGCACCAGCTCCTGCAGTAGCAGCTGAAGGAATAATGTCTGCATATGGGCTCCGCTGACCTGCCAATAGAGCCATCTGATGGTAATATTCAGCTGGACTGACTCCAGTGTGTGGAGCTAAGAACACAACATAAAAAAGCACCATTAATGACGTAAGAAAAACAAGAGGCAAAATTTTATTACTCCACTGCTTCCCTTTGGTTATTAAACCGGCTTTTTTATTTTTTAAAGCAACGCAACATCTGCAATATGCCGTGCAGTCAACATACGTCAACCAGTGATACTGCAAAGACATCATTCAGAAAATGGCAAGACATAAAATATTCATTTACCAGTGACACTTACCATTCACAGTGACCTCATTTTTTATATTTATTTTTTTAAGTGAATTTAAAAGTGACAGACTGACTGACAGGCCTGGAAACTAATACGTTTTATTTAGTCACAAGAAAAGCTAACCACAAGCAGCAAAAGCTTCTCTCCTGTGCCAATGTGTCTCAATCTTAACCTGAAACACCTCTTGCAAAGCAGGTCAAGTTCCATGATCATTCACATCTCCGAACGCCCTGCTGAAAATACCGAAAGGATGTCATCGGTGGGGGAATATTTTGTGAAATGCAAAACTGGACTAGGAGAAACTAATTTCTTTCAAGCAAATTAGCTGTCAGACAGGAACAATTTATAGGCATTTTTAGCCAAGGCTGGATTCATGTTAATGAGTAAGGTTCCCCTTTCCCCCCAGATCCTACATATACATGAGTAATGGAACTCATGAGAGTGGTCCCAATGACCTCAATGGGTCTACTTAGGTGTGTACGGCTCAGTGCCATAGAGGAGAGAGGCTGTATATGCCATTACTGTGTTCATGAATCATCCAATCCCCTGCAGATAACCTCCTTTACTTATAAAAAACAACTCAATTTCTGCAAAAATTATTCATGATCTGTTTTTCCTCCATACAATTTTCAAGCATCACTAAACTCCATGCAATGAGCTGAAGTGTAACATTGGAGTAATATTTCATTTCAGTGGCCCTCTGATGCTGCAATTATTAATAGATTGTTTTGTGGACTGAGCAGAAGATTAGTCATTATTCTTGTTTCTGCCACAGACTTCCTGGGTGAGCTTGGGCAAATCACTCTACCTCTCCGGTCCTCAGCTGCTCTATTTGTAAAGTGGAGATAATCATACTTCCCTAACTGTGCTCAGAAGAATGTTGTGCAGCACGGTTCATTAATATCTGTAAAGTACTTTGAGATTTTCAGATTTAAGGTCTCTACAGCAACGGAGTATTTTCATATTTATACTTGTTATTCAGCGCCATTCCTCCACCATTTCACTGGCTATGTTCTGAGTGGAAACACAACTTTAAGCACTAATCCTGGAAACACTGAACAATTTTATTCACATGAGACTACTAACACGGGTAAAGTGGCTTATTTGCATTAGTGTTTGAAGGATCAGGTCCTAAATGAAACACCACAAACACAGGAACCAGGTTTATTCTAAAAGGAAAAATGAAATGGCAGAGTTGGGGTGGGAGCTCTTACAGGAACAGGATTTACAGAGTATTTCAGTATGTTATAAAATAAAAAGTGTTCTCTGTTATATCGTGAGATCCAATATAAATGAAGAATAAACATTATTTTAATCAAACTTTAGGAAATATTAAAGAAAAATAAAAGGATTTTAGACAGTGCAGGAAAGGAAACCACAAGAGAAGTGAGCTGAGAAGAATTCTTCTTGTTTTCAAATTACAAATTGATTTCTAAAATAAATGTAATCCACACCTTGCCACTGTCACTTTCTGTAAAATGACAAGAAAAATATTTGACCACAAATTAAAAAAAACCCTCACTCATTACACTGAGTCATTGATTTTGAAGTTTTACAGTAGTAGACGACCATATCATCTTTCCAGACACACTTAAAACACTTCCTGAGCTTTCTGACATAAGTGTCTGGGTTAACTAACAATAACGTTGGCTGCAAGCTTTAAAATGAAATGCTTCAGAACCTATCAAAGCATATAGTGAGCATATAACTATATTACCAATGTTCCATAAATTGAAAGAATTTTTGGTTTCCTTAAGAAATCTTTCCTCTTTTTAAATACAAGAAATTGGCCAATTAATAATGGCTTGGTTGAAGGGTAATTGAGTTCAGTTAGGATGTGCAATTTATTTTTTAAAATATGTAAGTATTTTATAAAAGCAAAGCTCAATGTGGCTACTCACATATGTAAAGTTCCTCCTGGCCATATTTGCAGGATTACCCCACTAAGTGGGATTCTAAGTCTAGCTCTCCCTGTGACTGGACCTTTAGAATTTGAGCTGTTTGGGGCAAGGACTGCTGTCCTGATTCTCTTCCCATTTACAGCAGCTTTTACACCAGGGTAGCCTCAGTGGATTTACCCCTGCTTTACACCTGTGTAAATCAGAAAAGAATCACACCCCCTGCATAGTGGGCACTAATGCAATACACATAACAACTGGCTCAGTCCTAGACCCCACCTCTAGTTCCTTTGTGTTGCTGTGGGAAATCCATGGGTGGACCAAAATCGACAGAGCTGGCTCCACACCATTTGTTTTCCCGGGTGAGGTGATGACATAGTATGCAAAGCACTCATCCAGATCCTCAGCTGCTGTAGCCACTGTCTACAAGTTGCATAACAGAGCAACTCTAAAGCTGCTCTATATTATGCGATGGGCTGTTTGGCCCCTGGATCAGTGCAACTGTGGACTGAGCCCAAAAAGAATGATCTAATTGACCTAAAGCAATTTAACTGGCAATAGATATTTCATCATGACTTTTAGAAAAAACAGCATAATTTTACATACCTTCAAATGCAAACTGTGTGTGACAGAATTTATAATCAAGCCACTTATACCTTTAGGATTGTGTGTGTACACAGGTATATACTTGAACTATTATTTATTATTTGCATTCCAGTAGAGTCCAAAATGTGGAAGGTACTGTCAACAAACAAGGGAGATTAGGGTCTGATCTGAATAGATCTGTCTGAATAAGGGCTTTAGAGTTGCACACTTGACTGGCTTACCTGGCTAACTATGAATTCTATGTAATATATTTTACAACCTTTAATTAAATATGTTTTTTATTGGGATACCTATGAAACTTCATACTGGACAACAGAGATGGCAGTATGCTGATTTTTTAATTTCCATGAGCAACTGAGGTGGAATTAAAGTGTAAGTGAAATTATGTAGGAATCTCATTTGATAGCCGTTATTAAATTGTTCTTATATCAATTTTTTTAAAAAGCCTATATACATAAATTTACTTCGTAAGTTATATTACCACTTTAACTCTTTCAATTTTATAAATATATGCCATCAAAGTGTAATTACAATGCAACTAAAATGCAATGATAATAAAAGCTATAAAGCCTTACACAATTCCTTGTAATTTTTCTTTGTCCACTTCTATTTCCCAAGGATTTTGCTTCCACTTTCATAATTAGGGCTATTTAAGAATTCAGGACTTTTTTTTTGGCCCATGGCGGTATCCCTATAAATCAACTTATACTGCATAGATTACATGCTGTATGTATAGCACAATACACACATGCATGCATGCACTCTTATATGGTGGCTATCCCTGTGCTATGTAAATACCTATACATTGCCTGAAAATCAAATACATAAATAAACACAGAGTATGCAGTAGAATGTTTTAGATATACAAGAATCTATCTTTATTAGCCAATCTCTGGTCTTAAGAGGTGACTCTGCTCAAATACATAAACCGAGTACTAACTTGATCCATATTTATTAGGAAAGTTTATTAAGTTTTCTTGTGCCTACAATATGTTCAATTCTGTACACAGTTTGCAAAAATAAATACAATCACTGCCATAAGACATTACAATTGATTCTGTTCTAACCAGTCCAGTTTGTAGTCTCATGAGAGATCACTTAAGACAGATTTTACTGCAGATACAGTGAATGTATGTCTATATCTCTGCATATGTACATGTGTATGCCAATATACATGTACATATATTAATATAAATATATTTGTGGGGGGAGGGCATGTGAGAGATTGAGAAAGAGAGAGAGGTTTCAAAAGCTATAAAAAAGTTATATCATATTTATTCGACAATAAACGTATAGAACTTATTTGTGTCAAGATAAGGATTTCCAAATAGTCATTAGTGTTCTTTTTAAATGATTTTGCTGGTCATCATATAACACTGTTTGTTAAAATAAAATGTGTAGAATTAACCATAATTTAAACAACAACCAGGCTGTCGATATCACCAGTGGATATGTACACACATACACTTTGATTGACATTACATCATTTTAATTTATTCTCATAAGACGAATATGCACCCATAACTAATGGGTTAGTGTAAAGGTATAGGCTCTTACAAGTGAGGATTAATTAGTCATCCATTTGAACAGAGTACACTACTCATTTTTCAAATTCTGCTAAAGGCAGTATGTCTGTTTTGTAAATTTGTGTGAGCACTGGGAAGAGCTTTTCCTTAATTAAAATAGTAGTTTAATTATCTTCACTACATACTCACTTGCTAATTTGGCCCATTATAACTCCACTCAGCACAATAAAGCAATTTTGAAACTTCAAACTACTAATGTACTGTTAAAAATAACACTTCCCAGAATCTAGCCCATGTGTGATTCTGTTCATTGCTCACTAAGGCAAAATTCACATTTAAATCAATGGGAATTTTTACTAAGGACTGAGTAGAGATTGCAGATCTTGGTCCTTTATAATTTAGCTTACATCCAAATAAACAGGGAGGTAATATCTACATCGTACTCAGACCTCAGGGAACATCACTTTCCTTTTATGCTGCCTAAATGTGAGTCATTTAAATATGCTGCACCTGATTCTGATCACCAATCACATATCTCATATAAGTGAAATTTCATTCGTCTTATCCTCAACTAGTATAAATTGGTGTAGCTCAATTTAAGTTAAATAGACCTATAATGACCCTCATTAGCAAGTGAGTGTGTTGTTAAGATAATAAAACTGCTATTTTAATAAAGGAAAAGACCTTTCCAACACAATATATCTCTTGAACTCGCTGGAGATATGCTGATTTATACAAGGTGATTTGATTTCAGTGCAGGCATTCCTGATTTATGCTGTTTTAAGGTAAGTCAGAATCATACCCACGGTCTGTCGCACAAAACAGAAGATATTACAAGCCATAAACATTGTTACATTTTTAATTTTGAATGAGAACTTTTTTTTTTGCTGAAGTTTCAACGTTTGTGAAATGTGCAAATGACCAGCAATAGGCTGATGAAGTATTGAAACATTTATGACATAATGAATATGGCTGACAAATCTGCTGAAGCTGCTTTGAACAAGGAAAAAAAAGAGAAATGTTGACAAGATTAATATAACTTAAGTTGCCACAATGACAGCAAACAGGAAGCCAGTCTTAAACCCACCGTCTGTAGGGCTGAGTCCACGGGCTGCCGAGATCATTGACAGAGACGGGCTACTGTGCAGTGATCGGATGTAGTCCATGTAAGGGTTAATATAAGGGTGAGGAGGGCTGAAGGGAGATTCTGATGTTGCAGCCGGATTTCTGTGTGGGGAAATTCTAATGAACGGAAGATCTGAATATGTTGGGCTACTAGATAAGGCAGAAGGCCTGGAATAAAGAGAGAGAGAGAGAGAGAGAGAGAGAAAAAAGAAAGATTATCTATATAGTCAAGATCACAAATGTGGACAGAAAAAATAACTGTAAGGTAATATTCATTCTATAAAGAACAACTGCATTGAACATGCAATAACTTACACTAATTTCCACTGCCTGGAGAGAAAAGAATCGGGAACGAGTTCTTCTCTGTACCAATTGTTAGTAATATTTCTCTGACCCATTTTTAATGTAAGTTGGTTTTCAGTTTCCATGTTACATCACTCCATAATTTTTTTCCTTTGGATTTCAGAAGAAAACCAATCTAACTAGCATTAAATATGTACATCACATATTAATTTCTGCTATAATACAGAATGCATGCTGAGACACCTAATAATTTACAAATTCTAAAAAGTCTACTGGAAGAAGTTTAAGAAGATCTACCTGAGCCCATTTCCTTGATTTGCCAATTTATCCTTATTGTAAAATGCACATTTCTATTTATAAACAAATTCAGAAGAAACACAGTTTGTAAACCACTACAAGGGTTGGGCTTTTCTTCAACTATTTTTGACATAGCTCATTTACACGTGCGATACCAAAAACCAGACAGCAATGGAACAAAGGTTCTCCATATGTTTGTTTTTAGCATGGTGCCACAAACTGACCTAATGCCAACAACAAGAATTCAGTAATTAACCACATCTCTGTTATTAAGGAGGAACAGAATTTTTTTCTTAAGCTATATCTATGAAGCTGTAACGAACTAAGGCTGAAATGCCACTTCATGGTTGATGAGGACAAATAACCTGTCCTAAAAACACCCCTTGATGTCACACCCTGATAGGACCATGCCCATGCTCTGTGCCGAGTACCGCCTCTCACAGCATCCATGCTCCAAGGCACTGGAAAAAAAAAATTCATAAGGAAGTGTTGGAGAGCTCACCCCTGCCAACCAGTCCTTTCGCGAAAGACAATGATTAAGCCTGTCATTCATTTGCTGTAGTCTAACAGGCTGACCTGAACTAAATGCCTTTTTGTCCCTGTTTTTCAATTAATTTAGCGTATATACAGAACAGAGAGAAGCAGCAGCTGTGAGACCAGTTGGGGCAGCTCATTCCTTTGATGCTGCTGGCTTACACAAAATAATAAAAAAGAGAAATGTATTTCTGTAACATACACACCACAGTCAGTGGGGATTGTTGTTGTCACTTATAAGGCAACAAAATGTAATCTGAGGTAAGAGTCAATTCTGCTGATCTGTCAGCTCAGAAACACTCATGTATGAATGGGACAAAGATCAGAGTTATTAGTTCTTAACTGGACACCAGACTCCCTGAAAGAAAATATACGAGGGTCATAACATTTGGGGAATAAAGATTTTTTCCTGTTTCTTTGTATTTCTCCATCTTTTCTTCCTTCCTTCGTTATTTTCAAGGTAAACCCCTTTATGCTTTCCACACCTGAAAATGTCCCTTCACTGTAATGTTTATGTTATGCCCCTACATTTTTGTGTTAAAAGCAGACTCTGGCAATGGAATAATTTCATTGGGACCCAAACAAATTATCCACAAATACCTAAGCAGTGACCAATAAACCTTTACAGGTGTTTAAAGTGTAGTTATAGTTAGAAAAGCAACCATTACTCAAAGCATCTTTTCTCTGTATGTTTTCGAGTTATCTTTGCTTTACTGATCAAAACCAGATTTTAATGCTGTTTGCACAGTAAAACCCATAATTTATGGAAGAAGAAACTGGCCTCATGGTTCACTGACAAAAATTGACATGTAAAGTTTATGTCACAGAATCTTTTTCACTGATAATGATGTACAGGGCAGAAAGAACACTGCTGGACATCACATCACAGGGTGAGTTTCCCATCCCAGCAGGGTAGAAAATATTGAACTGGGATGGGTTAAATTGAGCAAAGGTAATCTGAAAGTCACTGAGAGTGTGAATTTGGAACCTCACAATGTCATTCTGCAGTCTTGGTTTTTGGCTATGGTTACAAATCAAGAGCTATTAGAAATCCACATTGAATGTCACAAAGCAAAAGCCTTGGTGTTATCTGGTGCATATTGAACAGTAAACTGTTCAATGGATTTTGTCAACAGGCTGAAAGTCTATGTTATTTTCAATCATTCATTCTCCATCTGGTCAATAGCCAAGCAGCAGCAAGAACAGGGTTCAGAGCCAGACAAGCCAGCCCACCTCTCCCCTTCCAGATCAAATGGGAGCCACACAAGGACACGTCATCCAGAAAGCCCTCCCTCACAGGGCCCCGCAAGCTTCTGAGAAGGCTATGAAAAGCCTTAGGTCCCTGGAAAACACTAATCTTCAGCAGGCCAGGAGCAGCAGCATGGACAGGACAGCATATGGGGGGTGTCATCAGACTCAATATTAAACTTTTCAACTCCAGATTAATGTTTTCTGATTTCTCCCCAACACCTGAATGTAACATGCAACCACCCTCCTCCAATCACCTCAGCTACCTTGTTTCACTCTCCTCCCCTCTCTTTTATAAAAACAAAACAACGAAAACCAAACAACAAGAGATCAAATGTTACATAGCCAAACAAGAGCAAATTTTTGTCCTTCCCTTTCTCACACCCTTACTATTAGCTGCTTCTTCCTAATACTGGGTCTAATTTTAGACTGTAAGCATTTTTTGGGTAGGAACTGTGTTTTATGGGTCAAGAAAGCACTTAGCACACTTTGAGCCATGTAAATAATGGACAAAAAATGAAGAAGCATGGACTTGGGAGATCTTCATAGCATCATTCAGTGACAATCCAACTACAAAAAATGGTGGCAGTCCACTGGACATTGGCATGGCACATGACAGATCTTCACATACCCTGACAGATAAAGGATTGATGTAGCTGATTCTGCTTTGGGTCCGAGCCTTCTTCCACTGAATGCAATTGCAACACTTTTGTTGATTTCAATCTGAGCAGGATCACTTTCTTCAGCAATAAGAGCTCGGAACGTCATGCCTCATTTTGTAAATTTTGTATCATAATCATCCTTGCCCTCACTTCAGCAAAAATCTCTATGCCCTGTGGGACAGTAGAGCTCTTTCTATATTACCTGCTGTATAATAAGAGGCATGTAGAGGGAGCAGGCATCTGGTTCTCCCATCTCCACGGAGATCTGACATTTTGAAGGAAATCTGCATAAACCCAGTGTTACAATCTATCTAATCTATCCATATGTTTTCCTGTAGCATTCATCACCATAGTAGCTAAGCCCCTGGCCCAGGAAAGCTCTTAAGTGTGCGCTTAACTTTAAGCACCTCAGTAACCCCATCCCTCTTCTGCAAGTAGTTAAACAGGTGCTTAAAGTAACTTCAAAGGGAGGTAAGCACATGCAAGTGCTTTGCTGAATTGGGGCCTCAGTGTTGCTGTATCTACACCCAGAGGCCCTGGCAACACAACTCCTACTATACATTGAATAGTTCTTTGGAGACTGAGAAATGTTTCCAGCTTTCACTAAAAGAGACCAGGGGGCTGTGTTTTACTGCTTCTATTTTTCATAATGGTATATTCAGCTGATTCTCATTAAATCACTCTGTAAGCCAGATAACATCCACCTCCCCAAGGGAAAATCTACATGTGGAGGCTATGGGAGAAGAAAACGTGGGAGAGCAGGGTCGCTCTCTCTAGGGATGATTTGTAGGGCAGCCCCAACACCTGGAGGGTCTCTAGGGAACTGCTGGAGACATAACCACCCTGATAAAACCTCCAGAGTGGCTCTCTTCACCCAGTGGCCCTCCTCCTGCCTTGCCTTCTGAATGCCCTTTTACCTCCATTGCCCCACCAGAGGAGTGCTCAAGGGAACAGCTAATTGCCCTTTTCCAGGCAATGTCTTCAGGGCTGAAAGGGGACAAGTTGTGCACGTGCACACACACACACGTCAAGGCCATCCCACCCATATAATGCAGGGCTGTAAACCACCCACTGTCAGCCTACCAAGTCTGTGCCCTCTCCCCTTGTGCAGATCCCAGCTCTGTAGACAACTCTGCACAGGACGCGAGGAGGGTATCAAACAGGCAGCTGATCCATCTTCTGTGCAGGATGGGTGCAATCAGCATGTGGGGAGCTTGGGGTTTGAAACTGGTCCGGTAAACATATCTTTCCTGTTTGTCATGACTTTTTCTGGATGATTTAACACAGACATCAACCTCTTTAAAAAACGTACATAGCGGTACTTGTTTAGAACTTGTCATTAAGATACACAGCACTGCAGATACCACAGTGTTTAATGTTCACCATCGTTCAATGTTCACTTTTTATGACCAGTGCTGTACTGTAGGTAAGACATTTGATTTGACAGTTACCTATCAGGGGAGAGGGAGTGACATTTTTCTTTGCTGTTCACAACTGCAACCACAGAAATCCTCATCAGACCAATGACTGGTGACATCTTTTACTAACTTACTGTTTAGCTTTTCAAAAATAAAACTAAGTGCATTCCAAATTCTTTCTGGAAGAGAAGGAAAATTAAAAGCCAGCCCATTACAATGGGTAGGAGCTATTAAAAGATGTGACCAAACTGTGTTTTTTAACTGAATAGAGAGGGAGCAGCCAGGAAACCCGTCAAACAAACACTGAAATATATAGGTAACACTCTTATAGTCAACTACAAACAATAAAATACACCAAAATTATAAATATAAGTGTTGGAATTCTATTGCACTTTCCTTGTAGCACTGAAGAAACATTTCCTCACTTTGTTTCTGCAGTTGTTTTTTTTCTCTTTACTGGGGAAACAGCTATGGGGCTTTTGTATCTGGCACAACAAGTGTGAACTATTTATACCTATTCCAAGATGTGGTACCTTATTCACAGGTTGTTGTATCTGATACAATCTCAGTGGGGCTGCCATGATTCTTCTATTGACACTAAATAGTGGCTTTGCCTTCAGGGCTATCCGAAGAGTTTCAGTTTTATTGAAAACTGTTACCAAGTTCATTTGCAGCATTGATAGGAAGGTTGTAAGTCAGGGGACCT